CGTTAGTACTATTACCGTATTCTTGGCACTATAGGGTGTACCGTCAGTGAATGGTTTTATTTCGAATTTCTTTCTTAGATAGAGTACACCGGAGTATAAGGCGCATTAAGGGAAGCAGCTGCTCTATTCCCATTTTCTACTGCGTGACTGATAGCCTTTAATTTGAAGTTCGCGTCGAAAGCGCGTCTCTTGTCATTGTTGGGTCCATGCACACATACTGTAATATGATGGTGAAACAATACATATATATATATATATATTAGTTCGCGACGTTTCTGATTACGGATTAACGCAGCGCCGTGTACTACACAAAATTGCTTCGAGGTCAGCAACCATAAATAATCAATATATACGGCGCTCCGGATTATAATGCACACTGTCGTTTTTTGAGAAAATTAAAGGCTTTTAAGGGCGCCTCATAGTCCGGAAATACGGTACTACTACTACTACTACTACTACTACTACTACTATCACCATCCTTCTCACTATTAAAATGATTACTACTTCCACCACCACCACCACCATCATCATCACATCACCAGTAGCAGCGGTAACGTCATCATTAGCATAATCAATGACAATGCTCTTCGACGCAGTAGCCATAAATATTTGCCACGGACTTTTTATAAAAACAAAATTCTGCCAATGCCCAATGTGCGAAACGCGTGCCTAACATGTAAAGAGCGGATGTTTCCCAAAAAGGTCAGTTGTTAGTAGATTTGCCAACTACGACAAATTGACTGGAGTTCCGTATGAAGTCGAGAAGATTTTTTTTAAAAGAAGGTTACGCAACTTTGGAATTCTTCCTTCTACAGCAGGCGAAAGCTGACAGTGTTTTAGAATAAAAAATAAGACTAAAAAAGAACTCTTTACAGGCGCACAAAGTTAGGGAGAGGGCCAAAGTCCAACACACGCCCCCCAAATTCCAGAAGATAGCCTACAATTCGCCGAGGGTACTGCGATATGGAGAAAAGTAGGCTTTGAATGAACGGAAAGAATTTCATGCAAAATCCGGCATCCTGACGTGTGACTGAAAGGGCCTGGGATTAGGGTGAGTTCGGTTACTTTCCATACATGCAACAACCAGATTGAGTATGGGAACTTGAAGGAAATACTCGAGCATTTCGACCTCATTTTATTACATGAAAATCAGGTAAATACGCACACGACCCCGGCCTCTGGGTGATACGTTGGCTTGCTAAGAGGCGAAAGAAGGTCAAGCAGATTAGAAATCAGGTGAGGCGAATTGCCTGACGTGACGCTAAGCCATCTTCTAACACGCACCAAACAGATCTACGTAAAGAGGTAAGTCAAGCAAGTTCAGTCTAGCCTGACTAAAGTAAATGCACGGAGGTAGCGTGAACTCATGTGTTAATATGCAAAACAACCGTGAAATTCGAACGGATTGATATCTCGACAATCTGCTTCCGACAACCCAGGAAATATATAATCATTTTGTAATCGAAATATGAAAACAGGGTCCAATATAGGTTCGTTGAAACAAGCTTGCTTATCCCCGTGTGGCATTCGCGAGGTATAAGGTAAAAGAACTTGCTATACTATCTCACGAAATGTTACCCAAAGCTCTAGCAGGTGTATTCAACTAAAAAGGACTACCTAGGTACGCAGCTTAATCCCTAAATAGTTCGGTCACTTTTGCAGAAACTACACTCTGTCAAAGTGACTTTTCTAGCAGTACGAATGCTCTCCATTGCTTTTAACAACCGTTAGAAAACTGGCACAACTAATCACTTATTGTACGTATTTGGTAGCAAACTGCGTCTTCTTTAAAATTGATGCTTAAAGAAGCTCCTAGTCAGTTCATAAAATGTAACATCTATGTATTTATTAATGCTACTTGCACCGTATATAAAATGGTCAACATACACTGCAAAATTGCGTGGTTAGCGTACAGAAAGGTATTATTTTCCTCACAGGAAAAATATACAAACTATAGTTTGAAAACTCTGAACGCATGTGTAGCGACCCAGACTGAACCATGTGCGTTTGAGTGGGCTAAGGGCGTACTACTTGTTCTTTTAGGACGCTGCTGGGATATCGCTCACCTCTGCCTCCGGATCGTCGATAAGTGCCACCTTGTTTCCACGCTGATCCAGCGAACTTTCTTATCATTTTTATATTGTTGGAGCATAATTTTCGTTACTTTGTATTGAACTCTAGTCACCGTTAGTAGTTTGATCACTATATTTTCACTCACATTTTTGTACGTACTCTTCCCGTTTCCGCGCAAACTTACGTCGCCAATACTACCATATTCGATTCCTATTTTCTACCCAGTGTTGTATTGTAGTTCACTCCAATCGATTTCTGCGACTGCGAGTATACCTGATTGGCAATGATTCGCGAAAAAGATGTTGAAAAGGGAACTGACAGAAAAGTCACTAGTTTACTTACCAACACAGTTATCACAAATGGAGCAGTGAGAAGCCCTCGGAGGGCGATGGATCCGACAGGTGTGACAGTACGCCTGCTTGTAGGGATAGTCCCGAATCAGCACTTCCCGGGGCTGCATTATGTTGGCACGAGCGCTATAAATGTCTCCAGACTCCGAAGCTTCCGCTTCTACAGGGTGGGGGTGTCCAGATATGCATATAATATATAATAATATACATTGGTAGATAATATATATTGAGTATGAGATAGACTGCATTCCGAGACGATATGATTAAAAAAAGGCTCGTCAGAAAAACAAGATGTACTTGTAAATTTTGAAGTCGGTAAGGAGAGGAGTTGACACCCAAAAATAATCTTTTTACGATCAAATAAAGGATAATTACACCAATTACACAGAGGTGTTGGCGGTCCT